ATTTTCAATAATCAAATAAATAGCCACAACTCCAGTGCATGCACTGGAAAGAATATCTGGAATTTACAGTGAAATTTGGATAAAACAGTGCAGGATTCTAAGTTAATGCTTGCTTCCATCCATCTCAGGAAGGGCTCATATTCCAAGTGTTCAAACCCAGATGATCTGATTTAAAGCTATTGCAGACAATAATAGAAGCAAAGAATGATCCCTTAGGCAAACAGCTCCAGAACACAGAAGAGGAGCAAAGTAAAAGGGAAATGACACCAGCATATCATCTTCATTTTCTGAGAGCATCCAGAGACTGCTTCAATATGAGGAGAGAGATAAGCAACAAGTAGCCTTAGAGATGTTAGCCCTTCAGTTGAGCAGAAATTAACTATATCATCCTCACAAAACATCTCTGACTCAAGAAATTTCATGGAATCTTGACCTTACAGTTCATTCCAAAGATTGCAATGGTGAAGGATGAGGAAAGAAAGAACACCATTAACTTCAGGGAGAAAAGGCCTCCAGCAGAAGACATGACAATTTGGAGAGAGATAATATATGAGACAAATATGAATCAAAGCTTCTGAGATGTGAAAGTTCATTTCCTCCCACTTTTTACCTATAACACACAGTTAACCCTATCCAAGTATAAACAAATAAACAACAAAAAAGCAATTCCTAAACACAGGTGATTAAAAACGAGAAAATTGCATAAGTAAAAGGCAGACAAGGGGGAAAATTGAGAAACAGTCTTCTCAAAGATATTCATAAGCCATTTAACACACACAATTGAAAACTCTACTACATAATATAAGAAATACTTGATTAAAATGGAAAGATAAACCTTACTCTTGGATGAGAAGATTGGATAATATAAAATTCCTGATTCTCTGTAAATTTAACTATACATTCAAATAAATCCTAATCATAAATATTAATGGGTTTTGATAGGTGGGGGTAAACTTGAAAAAAAAAGGTGAGACTCAGGTTCATTTTGGGGAAAAATCAGATGAAAATATCCAAGAAAATCTAAAAAAAATGCTAGTTTTATGAATAACAATTATTACCAGATAGTAAAAGGTCTGTGAGAAATTAATATTTTAAAAGATTTATACTGGTACAAAAATAACACCTCTGAAGAGCAAGTCCATAAATAGATCCTAAACTATAAGGAAATGAATTGGGTAAGAAAGGAAGCTATTAAATTCATTGATGTTTAATATTCAATGAATATCATTCAAACAACCATTAGTTGTGTTAAGAGAGAAAAGGTGGTATAGCTATCTTAATTTTTACATCTAAATTATTCAATAAAGATTAAATTGTTAAACAAAAATATAATATTACTAGAAAAACATGCGCAAAAATAATTTCAACCCAAATACCTAAAATCCAAAATGAGAAAAAAGATGTTATTATATAAAAATTAGAACTCTCCTGCATGGAAAAAGAAAAATATGAAAAAAAGAAAAATATACGCAACATTTTTTTCTAAAAACAGTGCTTATAATTAATAGAAGAGGAAAATACCTATTGCCTAAATACTCATAAGAAAAAAATAAAAGAAATTATGGTATATTCTTTTAATGTATATTAAAAACAATGAAGTGTTATGAAAAGGGTCTTTAAATATTATATATATATATATATATATATATATATATATATAATAGAAAAACAAATGGTATAAAATATTCATATGAACTGAAGTTTTCTGGAAAAGCTGCTTATGTATTAAAGATTCTACAGAGAGCTTGACCTTGGCTAAGTAGAACATCATGATTGTGGAAAGAAGGAATGTTGTAGATGGAGAGCCAGAATAATCTTGGGCTTTCTTAAGCTCTGTAATAGGCATTTATCTTAACTTTTGTATCAGCCCTAATATTCTCCTGGGTATTATGTAAACTTCTTGGAACGTATCACTAAGCTTAGCAGACCTATAGCCTCCACCAACACTAAAGCTGAGAATGCTATAGCATCTAAAATCTATGGAAGAGATTTTCCTGTTTTTCTTTAGCCTGCCTACCTGATGCTCCCACCAATGTAATTGCTGAATATATTGATTTGCTACTTTTTTTTCTTCTATGACTCTGAAAGTTCACATAATGTCTTCCACAGTGTAATATTTCATCAGGATAACTTGATTCCATGTTCAGGACAATGATTACTAATATTTGGTTCAGAATAAACTATGTTCTTATTTCCTTAAAATAGTTATGCTTTTACATTGACAGCAGTTACCATGCTAATAAAGATATTGAAAGATATTTTCATGTAAAGTGTGATTAAATTCAGTGTAAAGTTGCTTCAAATTATTTTATGCCTCTCAGTATATCTCCCAAATTTCTACGCATTTTATATAAGAAATTTATAGTAAGAAGAAACTGTAATAAAATATACTATGATAACTTTTAGTCAAGCATAGTACAAAGAAAATAAGTTTATTCATCTTAGTTTAAATAACTAAAGAGTAAAAGAGAAAAACACAACACTTTTATTAGCACCATGTGGGAAATAGCTTTATTATGATTGTTTATTCTTTTTAAGCAGCTGAGTCATGTAAAATGTGAAACCATAAGCAATCTAAGAGAATTTATATTAATGTGTGTTCCTATAAATTTTTAGCTCAACATTGCTTTATTTAAATGGTAAAATTTATAATGTTCCATTGTATTATATATGTCATATTTTTAAAGCAAAATAATGAAGGCACATGGAGTACAAGTTGACATAAACCCTTCCAACTTACATTGGTTTCTCCAGTATATTTTTCCCAAAGTATTAGCCTTAGTGATGAGAACTAAGAATTTTCACATTGCTCTTTAATACCTATATGACAAGAATGACTAAACTACATGGCAAAAAGTAAAGATACTTGGGCTGGGGATGTGGCTCAAGCGGTAGCTCGCTCGCCTGGCATGCGTGCGGCCTGGGTTCGATCCTCAGCACCACATACCAACAAAGATGTTGTGTCCACCGAGAACTAAAAAATAAACATTAAAAATTCTCTCTCTCTCTCTCTCTCTCTCTCTCTCCCCCCTCTCTCACTCTCTCTTTAAAAAAAAAAAAGTAAAGATACTTTAAAGAATTTGCTGCATTCTATATCTTTTGAAGAATGGTGTTCTTCTGAGTGCATGTGTTTTAATACTTAATTCATCTTTGATATTTTAAAAATTTACTCTGCAAAAACAAAACAAAATTTTAAATAATGCATAATTTTGCTGAAATTATTATACTACAGGTTATGCACTTTGTTTCACCAAGCCATATGTCATATTTTTTTCTCTAAACCCATGTTCAAAATATATTCCAGACCTTGAAAAGTCAGCTTTTTCATCTTATGAATAGTTGGGTCAGGATCTCAGCCAGCCTTTTTCTTTGCTTTAATCCTTGAGTTGAAAAGCTCTCCTTTAAGGGCAATTCTTGTCTCTGAATTAGAAAAGCAGTTAATTAAGTTCTAGTCATTACAAGGTCATAAATGAATATGACATTTTCCCCTATAGGTCCCACTTTCATGCATAGTAAGATTTCAGGAAAACTATAGAAAATAAAGGTTTTGAGAACTCATTTTGGGGGTTGGAGTGTTCCATTTAAAAGGTGATTACTTTTGCTTTTAGAAGGGTGTTCTTTATTTCTTCTGGTCTGATATCCTTCACAAATCTGAATCATGACCACAATCTCTTATTAGGGGAGGGGGTGCCAAGGATTGAACTCAGGGGCACTCAACCACTGAGCCACATCCCCAGTCCTATTTTGTATTTTATTTAGAGACAGGGTCTCACTGACTTGCTTAGCACCTTACCTTTGCTGAGGCTGGCTTTGAACTCTTAATCCTCCAGTCTCAGCCTTCTCAAGTCACTGGGATTTCAGGCGCCTATGCCCAGCATAATCCCCCTTTTATTTTTAATGTTCAAAGAGGAAAGGATCAAATTTTATCTAACAATAGCTATCTTTTTCATCACCTTAGCTTTGAAATATTTATTTCATCAAATGTAATATAAATGTGTAACTTTTTTAAAAAGAAAGTCAGCAGATACGCTGTTATTTAAAGGATTTTTTTCTAATTAATTTTCACTTTTACAACTTTTATCCCTCTTTTTGTTTTTCAAATTTACCAGTCACCTCAAAATCTGGATCCCTGATACTCAAAACCACTTCACTTTCATAATATTTTGCTTGTCATCTTTAGGTATAACTGAACAATGTCCTTATACATGCTATACATGCGCAGGGAGCCTCAAACACAAGAGAGGGTTTTTACACTTTTCCCCCAGTGCCTGCAATTCCTGATTAGCATCTTAACACATTACTCCTGCAGTTTTTAAGGGCAAATAGACCAGCATGGGGAGACAGTGTGGCACAGTGGCTTGAAGCACTCTAGGTGTCAGAATGAGGCATTTGCATCATTTGTGTTGACATTTTCTTTGCTCAACTCAAGTTTTCCCATTATGTCTTCAGCAGCCTCTGCTGCCGCTGCTTATGAAAAAGTCCCTTGTTATCTCAGTCAGCCAAATTAAAGGAAAATAACAAACATTTCAGAGTGATTCCTGGATACTCAGTGCCTAACTAAGGACAGGAATGAACTCATTAAAGAGCAGATGGCGGCAACTGCAGAGGAAGAGGGGGTAGCCACAGCGGCCACATCCTGGGTAGGGCTGGGAACAGCGAAGGGGCAGCTGGCCTCAGTTCTGGGTCACAGCAAAAAGAAACAGCGCACCAGAAGGAGCATGCAGAAAGAGACCCAGTAAAGCACTTCTAAGGCCCTCTGGCCTCAGTTCATTAGCTTCATTCCCACTGGGCTTCTCCTTGCAACATTACTCATTGACTGAGCAGGTGTGATAGACAAACGTGCAGCCCAATAAATGTTTCAGCCCAACTACTTCCCCAGCTCTACCTACCTTCTTCAACCTGCTAAAGGGGTTTAAGTGTTCAGTACAGACCACTTGCATTTCTGGAATTCTAACTTTACTGGTGGAGAAATACCTCAAGTACCTACTTGACATCCGTCTCTAGGCTTCAACCTAAAAGTTAAAAATAGTGGTAAACTGTTTTTCCAATTAGCTTCTCTTACATTCATCCAACTTTAATTTGCCTTTCCATTTGAGTCAATGAAGGAGAGAAAATTCACCAATATACAGGCAGGGCATATCTTAGTGTAGTGTGCTTCTGGGTGTTTATTTTCTGAATTATGAAGAGTACAGAGGAGGGTGGTATTAAATACTTTAGTAAGAGTTCTAAGAGGCTATAAGGATTTTGCATTCCATTTTAAAAGTCTTAAGGGTTTGCTATCTGTGATGTATGGCAAGCATGGTATATATCTAACTTGGAAACCTATCCAGTCACAGGGAGCCAGGTACACCATAATGGTTATAGTTGTCTTTTTGGCCCTGGCATAAAAATAAATCTGGCATAAAAGTAATTTTTTTTAATATTTATTTTTTAGTTGTAGGTGGACCCAATACTTTTATTTATTTATTTTTGTGTGGTGCTGAGGATGGAACACAGGGCCCCACATGTGCTAGGTGAGCACTCTACACTGAGCCATAACCCCAGGCATGGATTCTTTTTTATTAGTTCTTTTTAGTCACACATAGCATTGTTTGATACAATTATAAATGCATAGAATATAATTTGTTCTAATTCAATCCCCAGCACTTCCCCTTCCCTTCCCCCCTCCCTCCCCTTTCTCTTCCCTTTATTGTACTGATCCTTCTGCTATTTATAGTATTTAAAAAAATTAGTGCCTTGTGAATATACATGATGGTGAGATTCACTGTGGTATATTCATATATGTATATAGAAAAGTTAGGTCCATTCATTCTATTGTTCTTCCCTTATCCTGTCCCTCCTCCCTCACCCTCAACTCAATCCCTTTCCTCTACTAATCTTTCTTCTATTTTGATCCCCCACCCACCCATTTCTTTTTTCCTTATTTTGAACTAGCTTCTGCATATCAGGGAAATCATTCAATCTTTGATTTTCTGGGTCTGACTTATTTCATTTAGCATGATGGTCTCCAGTTCCATCCTGTCCTTCATGAATGCAAAAATCTCAGAATTAAAATAAGCACTCTCAAAAGTTCAACAGTTTGCTAAAATCAATAAATTGCTTCCTGATGTTTAAATCACAAAGAACATAAAGATCAAAGTATACATCATGTGTTAAATATAGAATATCATGGTTTGCATTTTTTTACATTTATATGCATGGGAGGACAGAATATTGTTAAGCAAATACAAAAGCAAGATGTTAAACTATACACAATGGAATTTTACTCAGCAATAAAAGAATAAAATTATGGCATTTTCAGGTAAATGGATGGCATTGGAGATGATAATGCTAAGTGAAGTTAGCCAATTCCAAACAAATAAATGCCGAATGTTTTCTCTGATTTAAGGAGGCTGACTCATAGTGGGGTAGGGAGGGGGAGCATGGGAGAAATAGATGAATTCTAGATAGGGAAGAGGGGTGGGAGGGAAAGGRAGGGGGCAGAAGACTAGCAAGGATGGTGGAATATGATAGACATCATTATCCATAGTACATGTATGAAGAAATGAATTGGTGTCAACATACTTTATATACAACCAGAGATATGAAAAATTGTGTTTTATATGTGTAATAAGAATTGTAATACATTCCACTGTCATTTATTTTTTTAAATCAATAAAAAAATTTAAAAAACTATATATGATGGGATTTGGGAAGATTATTAGCTAATTTCTAACCTGGTGACCCAGAAAGTCTTCAATCTGTCATCCTCCTGTCATACTTCTTTCCTGTAAAATCTTGAAGGAAAATATCAGAATGTGAATAAGATAATACTTTATCATTTGCTGTGCTTATGACTTCATGCCTAGTGCAAAGTTCTTTGCTAAGGCCCTTTTAAAGGCCCTTTGAGTTTAAAGGGCCTTATTCTCTTAGTAGTCTCAAACCAAAATTTCAGGATATAATTACCCTGTAACCAGCTACACAGTACAGCACATAGGAGATGAGACCATTATGTTACCTATAAGAKAAATAGAGCCATGGTCAAGTCAAGTCAAGGTGAACAGTGGTTCTGGTCATGGGAAAAAAAAATCAACTTAAAACAGTTGGCCATTTTGGATGAGATATCCCTGCCTTCCTCCCCCTCCTTCCCAGAGTTCTCCCCCCCACCATTCTATTTCTTACCCTCCTCCCCTCCCCTTCCCTTTCCTCCCCTAATCTTCCCCTTTCCCACCCTCCTCACCTCCTTCCTCTGCTTCCATTTTTCTCCTTTCTCCCATTTCTTTTCCCCCCTCCCCTATCCCATTTCTTTCCAATAACTTGAATGTGCATCCTTAAAAAAACTAGGATCTAGGAAATATATCAGAATGTTAAAAAGTTATGTTTTTTTTTAAATTTTACTTTTTCTCAGCTAAGTACCACAATTTTATAATTAGGAGAAAATGCTAGATTTTAATAGCATCATACACTTTATTTGACATTTATTTATTTGAGGTTGCAATAAAGGATTATGAAACAAGTATCAAATAATGCAATCATTTTCAGTGAAAGGTAAAGTAAAACATAATACAAAGAAAATGTGATACCTTTAGTATGCAATTACACAATGTGATAAAACTTTTTTTTAAAAAATACTATGTCATATTAACACCTTAGTGGTAAACAATAACTTCATTATGATTGATTTATAAACTATTATTCACATAAACAAATCCATATAAATCAAATRTAGTTTTGACAGACATTCTTAAAAGTATACTCATTTTTTTTCAAGCAGTCAAATTTCACAATGCACTGTTCTAGTTAACAATAAGTAGTGTATTTCTATAGCAAATTAATGAAGGCACAGCTAGTGCAAGCAGATTTAAACCCTTAGACTTCCGGGCTGGAAAAAGGAAAAAATAACAATAAAA